TTTTTTTTTTTTTTGGTTTTCTGTATTCATTGGCTTCACTAACCAGTTTATTTATTTACCATTACTACTCTTTCACAGGATTGGTTTTTGCCTTAGGGACGGAGAACTACTTTTTTTAGTTACTATGCACTTGTCCGTTTTAGCATCTTATTTTTTTTTAGCCGGAGATTCTGGGGAAATGCGACTTTTTGTCAGAGAAACAGCAACGGGCACAATGTTACCTGCAAGCGAGTGCCCGAAACCAGAAGAGGTTGACGCTTGGCTTGAAACTCATCCTGGTTATGAGGCAGGTTTTTTTTTACTTTATTGACTCGTGCTATCTCGTACTTGTTATCATTCAGATTATATTTTAGGTTGTGTCCCGAGATGAATGTAATTCAGAATCAGATGAATCTGATGATGAAATTATTGAGCCTGTTGAAACCAAAAAGGATGATGAATTTGAAGGTTTTTTATGTTCCATCTTATTGTTTCGTTTGACTGAAGTTTCTTCTTCTTGCCAGTCTACTGCTTTCCTTTTGAGGGCTGGATGAGGAAACAAGGAATAGAAAGATTATTGAAAAAGCTCGTAATGAAGAAGACGAATACGATCAGAAAAATAGGAGGCAAATGGAATCATATTATGCAACTGCACATAAGATTAAAGAAAAAGTTGTTACCCAGCATTCGACAATGGGTGGTGGTAATCCCAACCTCCAGCTGAAACCTTATCAGGTAAACATTTCTTTGATATCGTTTCAATAATTTTGGTTGATTGTGTTATCTTTTGAAAACATGAATTTTTTAAAGTTAAAAGGTTTGGAATGGATGGTTTCGCTTTATAACAACAATCTGAATGGTATTTTGGCGGACGAGATGGGTCTTGGGAAAACGATTCAAACTGTGGCATTAGTTACTTATCTTATGGAAGTTAAAAAAATAAATGGACCTTATCTTGTTATTGTTCCCTTATCGTTAGTTTATAAACTTCAATTTTTCTTTTTTGATCACCTTGTATCTCATTTTTCAGTTCCCTCTAAATTTTTTTTTATTTTATCATTATGTTTGCAGCACGATATCAAATTGGGCACTTGAACTAGACAAATGGGCTCCACATGTTGTAAAAATTGTATATAAGGGCACAAAGGATGCGCGGCGTAAAATGGATGCCCAGATTAGAAAAAATGCCTTTAATGTCCTTCTTACTACCTATGATTACGTATTGAAAGAGAAGGCCGTCCTTGGGAAGGTATTATCGTTTTTTCATTATAAATTTTATTTAATAGTTTTTTGGTTGTTTTGGGTTATTATCATTCTATGGTTTTTTAAGCACCAGACTGAATCGTTTTTTATTTTTTTTCTTACTTTTTAAACACTTTTCTAATGAATTATTTTTTCTAATAACAAGTTTTCAGATACGATGGAAATACATGATCATTGATGAAGGTCATCGTATGAAGAATCATAATTGCAAATTAACGCTGGTTTTGAACGGGTATTTTACTGCTCAGCATCGACTGCTTTTAACTGGAACACCGCTGCAAAATAAACTTCCCGAGCTTTGGGCTCTTTTAAATTTCCTTTTGCCGTCTATTTTCAGTTCATGTGGTACTTTTGAACAATGGTACGTATTACTTCTAGGGAATTTGGTACTTGATGAGTGGTTTCTACTTCAATTTTTACTTTCTTTTTTTTATGAAAGGTGGTCATCACCTAGCACGTGGCAGTGATTTTGTTACAGGTTCAATGCTCCTTTCGCTACTACCGGCGAGAAGGTGGAGTTAAATCAAGAAGAAACAATGTTGATCATCAGGAGGCTTCATAAGGTTTTAAGCATATTGGCTTTTTTTCTGAAAATCATCACATCTTTGAAAAAAGTGGTTTTATGAAAAAATACGAGAAGGGAAAAATTTTATTATTTCAGGTGTTGCGCCCATTTCTACTCAGACGCTTGAAGAAGGAAGTTGAAAGCCAACTTCCAGAAAAAACTGAATACGTTCTCAAGTGCGATATGAGTGCTTTGCAAAGAATTCTTTATCAACACATGCAGAAAGGGTTGTTGATTGACAGCAAAAGTGTAAGTGGGTTTGAAAATTACGCTTATTGCAGCCTGGACAACTGTTGAAAAGTTTAATGTGATATTCTATCGTTTTTAGACTGGCGGAACTAAAGCGCTTATGAACACAGTAGTGCATCTGAGAAAACTGTGTAATCATCCTTTTCTTTTTGAAAATATTGAAGAGGATTGCCGCAAGTTTTGGAAAGTTCCTGAGATTACGGGGTTTGTAGCTCCTCGGCTTTGTTGTCAGATTTTGATTCTTCATGAAAACATTTTCATTTTCGAGTTCAAAGTCGTATTTTTTCATTTCCAGCAGAGACTTATATCGAGTTAGTGGTAAATTCGAGCTGCTAGATCGCGTATTACCCAAACTAAAGGAGTCAGGGCACAGAGTGTTAATGTTTTGTCAGATGACAACGTTAATGAACATAATGGAAGACTATCTGCATTTCCGAGGTTTCAGCTTTTTGTTCATTTCAAATTGTAGTTTTAACGCTTGGATCATTTCAAAGGGGTTGTTGTGCTGGGTACAAGAATTAATAGAAAACGGTTTCGCATTCGTTTTTTTTGAAATTACTTCACGTAATGATTGTGCTATAATTATATTTAAGAATATAAGTATTTGCGTCTTGATGGTAATACGAAGCCTGACGAAAGAGGCCAGCTTCTTTCGCTTTTCAACGCGCCAGATAGTGAATATTTTATTTTTATTCTTTCTACCAGAGCAGGTGGACTTGGTCTTAATCTTCAAACTGCCGATACTGTTATAATATTTGATTCTGATTGGAATCCTCATCAGGTTGATCTTGAATTTGTTTTTAACTTGTACTTTTCTTGTGATTTCGACTTTTCGCCCTGTAGTATTTTTTCACTGTGTTTACACACTTTTTCTATATTTTTTAACGTTCAGGATATGCAAGCGCAAGATCGAGCTCACAGAATTGGACAGTCACGTGAAGTGCGGGTCTTACGTCTTATAACTGTAAACAGTATTGAAGAGAAAATCCTTGCTGCAGCTAGATTCAAATTAAATGTTGATGAGAAGGTCATTCAAGCGGGAAAGTTTGATCAGAGATCGACAGGTGCAGAAAGGCGGCGTATGTTGGAACAAATTATTAGGTAATTTTTTGTAAAACAGGAATTATTTTGGGTTTTTTTCCGGAGTAATACTGTCAAATATTAATAAGTAAAAAAAAACTAACTAACTTTGCAACATTTACAGTGCTGAAAATGAGGATGATGATGAGGATGAAGTCCCAGATGACGAGACAATTAATCAGATGGTAGCAAGATCAGAGGAAGAATTTGACCTTTTCCAGGTTATTTTCAGAATTTTTAGTATGGGGTTATCATTGGTATCTGCAAAATATTTTTGTGTTTTGGCTATCTCTGTGCATGTGTTCAGAAGATGGATATAGAGCGGAGACGTCAGGAAGCGTCGGAGTTACATCGAAAACCTCGACTAATTGAGCACGATGAAATACCTGCAGGAATTTTGAAGGCGTCAGAAGAGTTTTTAGAGGATGAAAAAAAACCTCAAAAAGAAAGGCTTCAGTCACTCATTCAACCTATTGGTAGGCGTCAGCGCAAAGAGGTGGACTACTCGCAAGTAAGTTATTCACTCTATTTTTACAGCAATTGTTTTAGCATTCTTTTTGAAACAATAAACATTTAGTTCGCGTTCTAAACATCGATTCGTTATAGGACTTGATGTCGGATAGGGACTGGCTCAAGAGCTTAGACGAAGATCTAGAGGACGAAGATGACGAAGAAGAAGAAGAGAGGCGGAAAAGACGTGCCAGAAGTGGAAGAAATAAACGGAAAAAGCAACATGGTTTTTATTTAATTAGTCTTGTAACGGTTCTGGCTAAGGTTTTTATATGCTTTTTCATCTTTACTGCATTTAGTAACCGTTTCTAATTTTGCTTCGCAGGTTTTTCAGATGATGATGAAGATGATGCTCCTAAACGTAAAAGAGTTTCTTCTGAACTGACAAATCTTTTAAATAAACTACATGATTCCCTTATCAACTTCAAGACGAGGTTCCTTTCCTTATGACAGTCTTATATGTTTACTTTCCGTCGAGTTTTGTTGCGCCGCATATTTTTGCTTTTTGACTTATATTGTTTTTAGCGATGGTAGGGAAATTGCTGTTCCGTTTGAGAAACTTCCATCTCGAAGGGAGCTTCCTGATTATTATGAAGTAATTGAAAATCCAATGGACTTCAACAGGATAAAAAAGAAGATTCGGGATGGGAAGTATAGCAGTGTTCAGGATATGGGAAAGGATGTCAAATTATTGTGCGAAAATGCGAGGGTGCGGTTGTCTTGCTGAGCTGTTTATTTGTTGATTTCATCTACTTAAAGGTTTTTGAAACCAAAGAGGATTGTCAGCAGCAAATTGTTAAAAAAGTTGGTCATTTCAGCGCTACAATATGGACGGTTCTGAAATTTTTGAGGATTCTTTATTATTAGAAAAGGTTTGGGAGCAATTATGTGGTGCTAAAAAGAATTCTGATGCCAATAATAAACCACCTCCACCCAAGTCAGCAGAGTCGAGCCGTCCGACTTCTGCTGCTAGTAGCTCTAGAAATAGTCCTGTTGTTGCTGAGGAGAAGCCCCAAGAAGTTCAAGTTCAGGTAATGGTTATTTATCTATCTTTAATTTGGTGATAAAAAGGTTATCGGTTTTTAATATTATTCATTCTAGTTAGTTATTTGCTTTGCAGCAAAACTGAAATGACCACGTCGGTTTTACCGAGAACGGATTCTCTCATCGGACATTTCTGGTTCTTGTAACTTTGTCTCTGCCAAATGCCTCATAGGCACCTGTAGTTGTGCTGTTGCTTTTTTAAAAAGGCGCTGGGCGTCGTAAAATTTTATCAGGGAAATGGCCATCTACATTTCTCAATTTTCGACAGTAGTGATACCTCTTTCCTTCAATTTTTCATACAGTAAATGAGAATGCCTACACTTTATTTTCAAAGCTCTTTTTGAGTTTTTTGATTAACTTGTCGTTGTGGATCTTCAAATTTCACTTTATGGTTAGCATACTGTACAGTCGCAGCCCTAGCTGCATAAAATTTTTCAGTTTGAAAAACGATTAATTTAAATGATTCGCGCAGAAATTCCCAAATGTTTCGTATCATTTATTCTCAGTTTTGTTCACCAGGTCCAAGTTGTTTTATTTTTGTATATTCAAAGATCTTGCAGTATTATACTTGTTCTAGAGATACAAGTGTTGTTTTTGTTTGGTTGTTAATGCTTTAATTGTGTTTTATTGTTTTTTAGAACTTATGTTTTCTGTAAATATCACCGTGTTTTTGGCTTGTAAGAATTACAAGCAGTTGCTCAAATACAGTTTGAAATTGATTTTTATTGTATCAGCGTATAGTGCAGTTAAGAAGCGGGTTTTTAAGGGGTATTCTTATCAGAAATTTAAGTTGAAGGGTAGAGAATTTGGGGGTTCACAGGCTGTTGTGGTTGTTAAGCCTCTGAATCAGAAGTACTTACGTATTCTCTCAGCGGGACTGGGATTATCGGCTTTTTATAGTGCAAGTAATTTGATATATAGGATTTTGGTTGGATGTAGAGTTGTCACCGCTTCTGTTGCTATTTGTTTTTCTGCAAAGGTCTTCGTAAGTGAGAGGAAGAAGTACGTTGTAGAAACTGAAAGTTTGGTGATTTGCAGCGTGGTTCTTGACGCCCATTTTGATTTTTGTACAGGGGGAACTTAGATTCTGTTTAGAAATGGTGAGTTTGCACTTTAGTTGGTTAACTGAGGTTCTTACACGATGGGGGTGGAAAGTTTTGAGAATTTTATTGGTTTTGTTGTTAGGTGCTGCGATATGAGTTTTCCTAGTACACTTTGGTTTATGTCAGTACTACTGAGTATTATCAGTCTAGTAACTGCTACTTCTAACAAATTTCCGATTTGGTTTAACTTTTGATGCTTCAGTAACGGTGACCGTTTCTTGTTGATATACAAAATTGGAACTGCAAATTATGGTTGTTTTCAGTTGGTTATGCCGCCGGTCGTTTCAAAAATTATGAGTTATTTAAAGTTCTGCGAATAATCTGTTTATCGGTCAGCATTGATAATCGAGAAAAGTCTCATGAAATAGTTATAAATCTTTGATACGATTTTAATATTGGGTCGTTTTGTAGGCGGCCAGAAAACGGTTGACAAATTTTACTGCTAAAGCTTTATTTTTTTTTTTTCAAATATTTGTATCCAAAATATTTTTTGCAACTGCACAAAAGAATTAGCAGTAATAGAGGTTTTGCATTTTTATTTTTGTCTCGATAAAACTGCGATCTTTTCTAATAATATATTAATCAAATATTTTCAATAAATATACTTTCAGTTGAAGATACTTCTTTCAAATTTGAAAAAAAAAAAAAAAAAACGAGAAATCAACAAAAGTATTTGATTTTTTAAGCTACGGTAACATATTTGCTTCCTTTTTACAACATAATCGTTGATTGAGGAATGGATGCAGAAGCAGTTCATATCTTCTACAATTTTAGATAAAATTTTTTAGAAGTTAAAAACGGAATTACTAAAGGATGGTGGAATAAACAGCACTTTTTTTTGCCATTTTTTTACCCAATATTTTATGTCTAAAATTATTCTTTAACTGTTATAATTTCGCTCAAAAAGCATCATTGGTACTGCTGTGGTTTATAATTAACGTACAGCAGAGATTCTAACAAATTTTTTTTTTGCTCTTTTACAGTACCAACGGAACTGTCGATTAGTTGCTGTCTGTTGTAACTCTCATATGATGGATTGAATAAACAGTGCAAACCAATTCTATGCATATTTTTTCAGTGTTTGAACAATTATCAATTAAACCAGTTATCATTGTCTAATAAATTTTGAGCAATTGAAAATTTTTTTGATAAATTTAATGAAACTAAGAGAATTAACAGCTATTTTTTGATTTTTCTTCTGTTAGGTTAATTTTTGGCACCGAATAAGTTTTTCAAAATTTTGAGAGCGCTTCAAAGGCAATTCATTTCAAATTGAACAACATCTCGTATTCATCAGTTTAATTATTATTTTGATTACTGATTGCTGTACAGTGATTTTACTGTACGCTGAAAAATGTTGGCGACAAATTTTAAAAACTGAAAAATTTTTTCAAACTTTTAACAAATAATACTTGAAAAAGTTTTAAATGTTCAGTAGGAATGAGCGTATTATTACCAACTGTTTCTTCTGTAGTTTTTGTTCTATTATATTTATTTGATTGGACAACATATTAATTCAGTTAACTAATTGTTCACCTTAAACAAAACTCTGATCAACTTTCAGGTTGTCG